AACATTCACCGCCCAATCATGCTTGGAGTCCCACCAAGTGCTTGGAGTCCCTTAGATTTTACATGACTTCTTTTCTCCACGTGGAAGATAATTGAATATAGCTGTAAAGTAACTCCAGGCAGTTTGTGTTGACTGTTTGCTCAACATCCTGGTTACTAATCCATGGCTTTTATTTCTCTTTCAGAAGATGCTGCTCAAGAAGAACTGTGGAGCAAAGACAAGAGTTATTAAAATTCGTGTAAGTTGCCCATTTCTCTGTTCCCTTCTTGTTTCCAGTATGTCTGAATGTGGTACGTCCTTTTGAACCTTTGCAAATAGGAGAGAGTCTTTGGAAATGTCTTTTGTGCTGACCATATGTATAAAAGGTGCTAGTCTGGAGGATTTCTCGGGGGGCAGGGAGGGAGGGGAACAGATAATAAGTAGCACAATTGAGGCTGGGATGCTAGAGGGGATAATAGGCTACCAGATGTTCAGGCCCAAAAACTGTGGGTTCCTTGAAAAAAGGAATCTTTTAAGTCATGTAATTACCCAAAACTTCTGCCTCTGCAGAAGGTAGAGCTAGTTCTGCAGTAACAGGGACATTGCTAAGAAGGAATGAGATGTATTTGCAGGGTTGCAGGAGCAGAGAGTGGCTGCAGATTATGACCGAAGGGCATCTGCAGAATTGCATAGGACTTGGGTCTGGCTTAGGCAGAGAAGGCATCTGCTGGCCCAGATTATCTAAGGTACTCATCTGCCCCTAGCTATCACTGTGTTACCGAGCAGAAACAGGTACACAGGGCATTTGTACACATGCTTGTGCCGCAGCGTTGGGCACTTTTAAAAGTGCCCGGTGCTGTGGCGCATGCATTTGTATAATGCACATCAGCGCTGAGAATGCACATCAGGTGAAATGCACATCAGTGCTGAGAAAATGGCGGCGGTGCACTGTTGAACTAAAACACATCGAAGGAGTTTCAGTTCAAAAGTGCACCGCTGCCATTTTCTCGGTGCTGACGTGCATTTTGTTGTTTATACAAATGTATGTGCCGCAGCACCAGGCGTGTCGGCTTGCATACAGAGCAGACTTTATTAATCAAGTCCGCTCCAATGTGCTGGATCTCTAGTGTGTTGGAGCAGGCAAATGTATGTGTATGACTGCCTAAAGGGATTAAGGACCAGATCCAGTTTGGTTTTGGAGGTGTTTACATTTTAACTGTTAGGACAGCTACTGTCCAGATGCCATCCTGGAAGAGCAACTGATTTGATCAGCTTCAATAGGAGAAGTGGAGGGGGTCCCCAACCAAACTATTCACGTATGTTGGTGATTAGGGGACTCTTCTGAGAAGTAGGCAGTAGTGATCCAGGACAGGAAAAAGTGGGGTGCAGCAGTGTCAGAGAGCTTGTTGTGCATACATCCAGCAGCCAAGAACAAGAGCTGTCAGTGGCAAACCGGTGGGAAAAGAGGGAGTGACCATACCACCACAGCTACACCTGCCTTGGATTCCACCCCTGGAAGTGGGAGATGTGGGCTTGAATATTCTTAGTCTGAGGAAGTCCTCTGACCTCAGTCTTGACTTTCTGTGTGAGTGCTCTAATGGCTTATCTATTGTGGAAAAGGTGGATAGCACCACTACTGGTACTGTTATTGAGCTGAACTCAGTGCCGTTGGGGTTAGTCAGGTGCGCTCAGAGCATGCCTAATGGAGCAAGATCCTCAAGGGATTTAGGAGCCTCCTTCACTGGGAAACTTGGCTGGGATGGAGTGGCCCAATTGAATTAATTATACACAGGCTTAGACGATCAAGTCCAGGCTGCTTTGGAGCTTAGGAACCAACATTCGGCTTAAGTCAGGGACCAAACTGGCGTTGGTGCTAAGTGCTTTGTGCCAAGTTACAAAGAAAGGTTGAAGTGTAGCAGGGAATTGACCCTGTATTTTCCTAAGTCGCTATTTAATGGTCTGCACTGGACCTTCCTCCCCCTCTCTGAGGAAGTGATAGCTTTGAGGTCCACTGGCAGCAGTGCCTGGGAGGGTTTGCACAGTGCTCTCTTAATGCCTGTATTGTGTGTTAACTACAGGTGGAAACACTTTATTTTCACTAGGGCTCCCATCCACCTACTATCTTACTCTGCTTACAATGCTAATACCTGATTAATCCCAAGGTTAATTGGCTCCATTTTGTTCACTAGTATATTGGAGGGCATTGTGATTGATTGGGGCATGACCTTCCACACTACAGCATTCCTGACGCTAAACCAAGTGCTACGAGCAAGCAAGTCCCATATGATCCTTAGAATATTTGTAATGTACAGGCAAAAATAACACCCTTGACTAACTGGAGAGAAGAAAACAGATGTCCCTTGAGATAAAACAGCCACTATTGCTTCAGTAATTACAGTCAGCAATTAAGACAGTCAGGGGTGAAGAATGCCAAATGCAAACCACAGTGCTTGACAGATGTTTTGTGAGATGCCCGTACCCTAAAAGCAAACTGAGCTGAGAACTGGAGCTCCAGCAGCCCACCCAGTACTCTGAATTTCTGCAACAGAGTAGCAGGCCACCACTTCCCTCTACTAGTTTGTGGGTGAATTTAGTACTTTTGGCAGGGAGGGAGTGAGAGGCCATGTACATATTGAGCAGGTATTGCTCAAGTTTCCCATCTGCACTCTGAGGCACTGCAATCCTGCCTTCTAGGAACCCTGACTCTGACCTAATATAACTCTGATCAGGCATCTTTATCTTAAGCTGAAGTGCATCCCCTTCTGTTCCAGTCTGAGCCTCTGGAAAGCTCTGTCAAAGCAATGCACTGCACCAATTTCTTGTTACTGGAGTCTTGTGCTCCCTCAAGGCTGCACCTGTCCCGCACACACACCATCTTTTTAGTCTTGGCCCCCACATTTTGTTGCCATCTAATTACCACATTCCTTCTCTCTCTGTCTTATGTATACGTGCACACATGCACACATACACATGTGCGTGCGTGCACTCAGGCTTTCAGCCTGTTTGTCTCTGTCACTGGCCTATAGTTAGTCCTGTGCTGCTGGGGTAACGGTTCCTCTTGGGTCTCAGTAATACCTATCAGAGAAGGTGAGAGAATCAAGTGTAGGTTTCCCCTGGCGCTGTGAACTCATTACTCCATCTTAGTTTGTATGCCCTGGAGAATCTGAAAGACTGAATTATCCCTCCATTCCCTACTGAGTCTAAGTTAACTCTTACTAAAATAAATAAGCACAACCCTTCTGACATGTGGCATGAAATCCATGCTTCTTGGATGGCAGCTGAACCAGAACCAGAAGACTCTTAGGGTGCCTATACATGAGCAGCAAGGCTGCTCTGATGCCCTGTAATTACAGCACATTGGAGAAGGCTCGATTAATCAAGTCTGCTGGAGTATGACAATTAAGGTTCTCAGAACACTTACCCGTAGGACTGGACCCTTCACAAAATGCAGTCACGGACACTTCTTTTTTATTAATGTGGTGACTTGAAAAGGATGCGGTGATATCCAGTTTTTGTGTAATGGCCTATGAGAGTTCTCACCCAAGAAGTTGGAGAACTGGGTTCTAGGTCTTCTCAGCCCGAGTGGGTTCAGATCCATATTTCCTACCCCCCAGGAGAGTGCCCTGACCATCCAGCTGGGGGCACACTCTGCCCTTTGTGTAGAAGCTGGGGTACTGTCCAGAAAGAGTACAGGATTCATAGGACCAGAAGGAAGGGGGGAGCTTGATTCTATAGCCGAGTAATGGGATAGTCTCCTGGGTGATAATCCAATGGAAATCCTGGGTTTTGATCTGTGCTATCAGGACTGTTTATGCCTTTTATGTTACACAGTCACTGGATAAGAAGCAGAAATGGTCCTGAGAGCATAGACCAGAATGTAGGACATCTTTCTACTCAGAGTTTCTTGTTGGTGAGCAGCAAAGCTCCCCATTCAGCATGCTGCCTCTTCTGAATCTCCCTCGGAGGTGCCTAACTTGTCTTGTGCAGAAGGTGGGAGCTTGGAGCTTAAACCTGGGTTTTGGGATGCTGCCTGGTGGGGGCCAGGTGTTGCTGTGTCTAACTTGTAGGTGCCCAGGTCCTCTAATGAATCTAGTCCTAGCTGTGATTGGCAGAAAGGCCAATGCACCTAACTCTCATTCATCTCATTGGGCTTTGGGGCTTCATCTTCTAGGACACTTTCGTAAATCCCACCAAGCTTTATCTTCAGGCACCTAAATACCTCTGACTATGTGGCTCTTCGCTGGATTTCTCACAAATGGAGAGTTAGAGGGACATAAAACCACTAAAAAGGAACCACGGAAATGAAATCAATTGGGCACTTATACATGTGCCTGACATTTGCTCTAATGTGTGCTAATTAGCATGCACTGGAGCAGACTCAATTAATCAAGTCTACTGGAGTATGCAAATTAGCATGCTCCAGCAGCCTCCACTTCATGTGTGTTCAGCATCCCTGTGCTTCCAAATGGTGGCAAGGGCACTGAACAAGCTTTCGTTAAAGTACCCTGCTGCCATTTTGAAACACAAGACACTGAATACACATGACACTGCAGGCGCTTTAATGGTCTTTAGTGGTTCTGAGAGCTGCTTTAATTAAAGTGCCCCTCCCCCCTCCACCTGGGAGCACATGTAAAGACACCCAAAGAGTCAACCCCAGTTTTGCAGGCCTATCATCCTTTGCTCGTGTTTTCACAATTTTTCTCTCTGGAGAATGATGCTATTAGGTCTAATCCTGTAGTCAAAATGAGACCCCAGTTTATTGGCTGACAAGGTCTTTATACCATGCCGGTCTACAACATCTTTACCTGAATGAGGGACATATATGGTTTGCTAAATATGTCCCAGTGTTGCAGATTCAACATTGTGACTTCACTGTAATATCTAGGGGGCAGACAGTAAAGAAATATGTTACAACAGAAGTATCAAACTCACTCTGCATCCTGGGCCAGATCTGGACTATGAAGAAACTTCTTGCTTGCTGATCTGGACCTAATGGTGGCAGTGGTGCAAGCCCTAGCAGTGAGCAGTGTGGGGTTGGCACCACTGTTGCTCATCTCCTGTCACTGAAGGCCATCACCAATATGGCCCTGTTGTCCCAAATTCTGTGGCAGGCCCTGCCCCAGCTTACCCTGCCCCAAATTCAAGCCCCTCTGGCAGCCCCACAAACCAGATCTGGTCTGCAGGTCATGTTCTTGACACTCCAGCTTTACAGAGTGAATACAGTAATGTAAGAGTGATGTAGCTATGATGGTCCAGAAA